GTGGACAACTCTATTGAAAATAACAAAAGAAAGCATAGTAACTACTGGGGATCACCTAATAATGTGGTTTTATATGTCTTTTTCATTTCATGTTTTTCTAGGAATTTGTTTTTTTGTCTTGTTATGATCTATTTTTCCCTATAATACAGAAAGGATAGATATACATGTAGAAGAGATTCACACATGGGGAGAATTTCTAAACAGTTTACAGGAACAGATTATATAATGTACGATGTAACAAACAGATACTCTGAAGAAGAAGAGACACTAAGAAACCCAGTGCTAATTCTGTAGCATTATGATATAAAATCTAGCAAAACTATTATTCACTGTTCAGAGTGATATTAGACTAGTCTCATGTTCAATTTCAGTGTACGTAAAGATAAGGACAGCTACTATGAAGAGAATGAGGGACATTATGGCAGTCACTATTGACTTCCCCAATGTCAGGTCTTGACCTAAAAAGCCTTCATCACCCTGTTGTGATCAGATTAGTTCTATAAGGCTCAGTATGTATTCACTGTGTATGAAGATGGGGACAACTATTTGGAAGAAAACTAGAGGCAATAAGACAGACAGTGAAGGTCTCCAGTGGACTTGCTTTGAAATCAGTGTTTCTTCAAATTGTTTCCTTATGATCTGTTTTGTTCTGTTTTGGTATGTTTAATCTTACCCTCTTAAAGATATGGGCAATTCTTTTGAAGATAGCAAGAGGCATTATAGTAGCCATTGTTGATCACCTTGTATTTTGTTTTTACATCATATACTATGTCTATTCTTGTTTTAAATGACTCCATTTTGCTTTGTCACATTTGGTTTTATTCTTTTCAAACAAAGTAATAAGAACTATAGGAGTAATAAAACCTAAAATGTGTAATTGTTATTATAAAAAAGAGAGGAAAAGAAAGTGCTCTAAAGGATATAACCACATGTATGTTTAAGTGTGTAAGACAGGTAACCATGTTACTAAGTTTTTGTTGGATCATTGGAAAGAACTGTTTGCAGTCTCACTGTTTAAATGTATGCTTTAATTTTGTAACTTGAACAGCGACTTCTAAGATGACAATATATAATATATCAACTAGTGATTTCTTACTGTTTTTTTGAAATTCTGTATTACTTCTACCCTTTTTTCCTCTTTAAATAAAATCCTTTATTAACAAAATTGACAAAAAAAAATGGCACCCGATGGTGTTCAAGTGAACAATTTCCTTTAGTGGATAGTTTGGTTCTTCTAGCTGTACAACAACATCCTATAGGTATTGTCACATACAACGAAGGTCTTGGAACTTGCATTACCTATTTAAAGAGGAATTTATTTTCCAAAGAAGAGGCAGGATAAGTATAATAAATGACTAAACTTGTCTAGAAAATGGACTTTTCTTACATCTGTAATGAAATAATGGCGTATATTTTCCAGAGCTTCATTCAATTGCCTTGATGTTTCCACTTCAGATAGACCTAGTTGGAGCTTCTGGATTGTCCAACCCCATTGCCCCATGGATTTGCCTTTGGTGAACTAGATGTCTGGGGTTGCATTTTGCTTAAGTGTTTTCTCATTTTCTTTTCTCTCTTTTTCAAGTTTAATTCCTGGGGTGATGCTTGTAAGTTGTGTATGGTGGATTGCTTTATTGCTAGTGTTTAGGACTCTTAGGTAATGACTTTTCTGAGGTATCCTGTAAATATAGCTGGTTTTGGGATTTTGAGTCTGTTGGAAGATCTAACCTCTTCAGTTTGTTGGAAAGGAGAAGTTGTTGCTTGTTGGGCTCAGTCCCTGATTCTTTGGCACTGTGCTACAATACTTTTTGTGACCTTTAGTCAATCTCAGTCATGGAATACTAGGAAGAATAGCTGTTTAGAACAATTATGTCACCTTTCATTATAGTGGTACCAATACCATCAAACACAACCTAAAAAATGACAAATTGAGCTAACCATTAATTTGCCACTTTTAACCATATGAACTAGATTTATGGTTTTATAACAAAGTCTAAAACAAACTAGAAAATTATATGCAGTATATAAATCCTTAATATGTTAATTTTGCCCTCAGGGGTTAAAATTTGAAATGGATTAAGGAGAAAATAGAGAAGTAGAAGAAAAGAGATTAAAAGTAAGGATGGGGGAGAAGAGGGATCACACTAATTTTGAAAATTGTGGAGAAGACTGGAAGCAAAGAGAGAAAGAAGAGATAAAAAGAAGAACAGAATAGAACCACAGCCAGAAAGAGGCAGGAACCATGTTCACATGCATACAAAAACAAGAGCAAACAATGAAGGAGAAAAAAAGCAAAAAGCAAAACCACCACCACAGCAAAAAACAGAGAGACAGACAGACAGACAGACAGACAGACAGACACACACACACACACACACAGAGAGAGAGAGAGAGAGAGAGAGAGAGAGTAAGAGAGAGAGAGAGAGAGAGAGAGAGAGAGAGAGTAGAGAGAGAGAGAGAGAGAGAGAGAGAGAGAGAGAGAGAGAGAGGTCACTTCCAGGTTTTTCTGTTGTCAGCGCTAGAGGATATGTGGAGTCAATGTCCAATCTGTGCTGATATATCCCAGCAAGCTAGCAGGAGCTTTTTGGCAGGGTAGTGAATAATTTGAAAACCTGAGCTTTTTGGCCAAGAGGCAGACTCTTTTGGCCTACAGTTGTCTGTGCCTCTTCTGTGGGAGTCAATGGGATTGAGCCAGCAGTAGCTCTGAGTTCCGAACTCAGCCCGCTCATCTCCGTATTGCTCCTGGCCAATCACTCTCCCACATGGGATGACAGAGCCCTCGGCCCTCACCACCAGCCAGGGCAGTCTTTCACAGCTGCTTCTCCCCTCCTCTGCTGCATGTCTCCAAGGAGGCCTCTAGGGTCGCCAGCTGTCACTGTGTGCAGGTTTGAACCACTCCCCTCATGCAGTGAATTCCCTCTCAAGGAGGAGGTATCACCCACTACCTCCTTCCTTTTCACTGAAATTTCTCTCTTCGCTCTCTCCATGAGCTTTGAGTCACACTTCAGAGTCTTCCTGGATCCAGAGAATACACTTCCCTCCTTGTCTTCCCCATGTTGCTATAGTCCAGCGTTTGTACACTGACTCTCAGAGAAGCTCTTTATCTGCTACTCCCCCGCAAAAAGAGATTTTTGGGGTAGTTTTTGCTATTTGTGTTTTATTTTCACAGACAGTTCAGAGTATGCTCAAGACTAAAGCCGAATGTGAAGAAAAGTCTAAACTGCCTGATGATACTGTAAGTCAAGTTTTCTTCTTCCAAAATCATCTCTGCTACTGAAGTATCCATTTTGTTAAAGGTGTTAGGAATCTTTAACTTGCAGAGAAAGCAATCTTGGTTTGGACGAGTACAGTAATTGCAGCCTCCTCTTCCTCCAGTAAGGACTCCTGAGAACTGGAGAGAGCCTGCCTTACATGTCTCTACTGCTTCGGCTTCTTCTCCTTTTACTGCGTGATAACATTAAGCCCAGTGCTTTTTTGTGTGATAGTACACACCAGAAAGACATACGAGAATGTTTTCCTGAGAGCAACACTGAGACACATCTGTTCAAATCAGTTACCAACTGAATTGACTCATTTAGTAGGAATAAAATATTCAGGTCATCATATGAATTAAGCCATATAATCCCCTTGCCACTAAAAGTATTAATTAAGGTTTTGTTTTTATTCCTCACCATAGCATCTGCTAACTTACCCTGAATAGTGCATGAACTTTCTAAATCATAGGGATTAGAACAGGTAAAAGGTCGTGTGACAGAATTTCTTCGGTACACTGAACCCTGGATGAAGAAAAAGGGAGAAATAGAAAAAGAGATACTTTTCAAGTTATTTTCAAATAACTTGGCATTTGTTATTCACCAGCTTATTGTCATATTATCTTATATAAAATTAATAAAACTCTGAAATGTGGGGGGATTATTTTTCTCCTCTTTCTGTGTTTCAGCAAGGGACTAAGAGAGTACATGAACAATTTACAAGTGTATTTGTTGGTATAATATACTTTTATGTGATCTGTGATCTTCATAGTAAAAATAAAGCAAAACTCAACTAAATCGGCATGGCTTGTTCGGAAGTGATGTCAGAAGCCCACCATCTAAATTAGAAGTCCAGGTGGGTAGCATGCTATTTGTGTTTGTTAAATGTGATTTATTTTCTTTTCTGTTGCTGTGAGACAGATTACTCCAAAGCTTAGTTGCTGCAAACATCATACACTTATCATCTCAGTTTCTGTAATGTGAGAATTGAAGAGCAAGACGCCCTGAGCCTCAGGATCAGCTGTCTCATGAACTGCCATTCGGCTATGGGGCAGAGCTACAGTGCCTTCCTCTGCCTGATGGGCAAGTGGCTGCTGGCAGGCTTCAGAAGGTCCACTGCCAAGTTTATCATAGTTCCACAGGGCTGCCTGTGCACACAGAAACTGGCTTCACAGAATGAACAATCCGAGGACAGTGTCAGGGCCAAGGCTGAGGCCTCAGAAGGGGCCTCCCATCATCTACCACATTTCAGGTAAGAGAAAAGACAGAATAAACCCCGCCTACTCTCAAGGAGAGAGGATTACATCCGGGCAAGAATTTCAGGAAGAGAGATTTTGGGGTCCATAGAAGAGGCTTCCTACTACTACAGTTTGTTTGTTTTAAACAAAAAAATTTTAAATACAAAATGCATTCTTGTGGTTAAAAATTCAAAATGTCCAATGGGGTATACAGTAAAGTCTTTCCCATACCCTGTCAGCCAGACCCCTTCTTGAGCAAATTGTTCTTGTGTTACCCTTTCAGAGCCATTCTGTGAAATATTAAGTTGGAAGATGGGACTCCACAGATGGAAAGAGGCGGTAGTCTCCCCCTCTTGTCACTTTAGACCTGTTTTGCAAAGATACTTCCTTGCTCATCCTTGGAGAAAATTTGAGTGGCGCCTACAACTTTCCATTTCCCCATTATATCATGAATCCTCGCATCATAACATAGCCTCATTCCATAAGTAAAACACCTACTCTTGAGTAACACATCCTCAAGCTTTTTTATATTTTATTTTATTTATTTTTAAAATTACACTTCCTGGTACATTTTAGGTATACATAATGATCTCTTCATTACAGGGAATTTGTACCTGTACAAGACACAATTTAATTTTTTTACACTCCTTTACCCTTCTCTTCAATCTCCTTTTTCCTTTTTTTTTTTTTTTGGTGGGTACTGGAACTCAAACTCAGGACCTCGCACTTTTCAGGCAGGCGCTTATTCCACTGAGTTATATCCCTGGACCCTTCCCTCCTTTTTTTTTCCCCAAAAGCTTCGTTTCCATGTTTTCTTTCTTTTCTCATGTTTTTTTCTTTCCCTTTCCTTCCCGTTTCCCTCATCCCTAGTTCCCCTTTCCATTTGAACATTTTCTTCCTATATCACAGTATCTATCATACATTTTGATCCTTATTTATACTTTCGGTTTCTCACACTAGAGAAACAATGCAGTGTTTACACATGTTCTTATGAGAATGGCCTAAAGGCACATCCATTTAGCTAGAAATGTCGCAAGCTTATCCTTCTTTATGGTAGAGTAGTATTTTTTTAAAAAATATTCTTTATCTACTCATCAGCCGATGGGTTTGGGCTATTTCCAAGATTTAGCTATTACAAACTGTGCTTCCATAAACATGGGTATGCATATATCACTATGGTATGATGTTTTTAATTCCTTCAGGAAGCTACCAAGAAGGGCAGTAGCTGGGTTGAATGGAACCTCCAGTCCTAGTTTTTTGAGTAATCTCCACATTGACCTCCAGCATGGTTTCACCAGCTCACATTCCTACCCGCAGTGGAAAAGTTTCCTTTTTTCCTCCAGCATTTGGTATTGGTTGATTTCTTGATAGCAGCCATTCTTTCCAAAGTAAGATAGGATCTCAGTGTTGTTTTAACTTGAATTTTTCAAATGATCAATGATGTTGAACATATTTTCATATATTTATTTGAGAAAGTCATTTCAGATGCCCATTTTTAGTTGAGTCTTTAAATTGAGGGGCATCTATTTTGAGTTCTTTATATATTCTAGACAGTAGTTCTTTGTCTGAGGAACAGCTGCCAAAAATTTTTCCTACATTGTAGGTTGTATCTTCACTCTGTTGGTGGTTTCTCTTGTTGCATAAAAGCTTTTTAATAAGATGAGATCCCAGTTGTTGCATCTCTGTGCTAGTTCCTGTGTGATTGGAGTTTTGTTCATAAAGTCTTTGCATATACAAGGTCTCCAAGAGTTCTACCTATTCTATCTTCCAAAAGATTTAGTTTCTCTGTTTTAATATTTAGATATTTGATCCATTTGATTTTAGTGTAGTTCATGGCAAAAGATATGGGTCTAGTTTTAATCTTTGGCAAATGGAAAGTCAGTTTTTCCAGCACTATTTATTAAAGAGGCTTTTTTTCCAGTGAAGTTATTTGACACCTTTGTCAAAGATAAGGTAGCTATGTATGTCTGCAGCTGTTTCTACATCTTCTAATCTGTTGTATTGATCCTTGGGGTTTGTGTGTGTGTGTGTGTGTGTGTGTGTGTGTGTGTGTGTGTGTGTGTTTGTTTTTCCCAGTATCATGCTGTTTTTATCACAGTCCAAGCTTGAAACTTTAAGGTTAAGGCTTCCTCCATTTTCTAGGTGGGCCAGCTTGAAGCTGCATACTTCTGTGAGGAAGCCTAGGGCCAGCTTTTCCACTTTCTGTCATGTCTTTCTCCACCTTCTCTTCTGTGTCCTTCAGACCCCAGTCCTTGTCTCTGTCAGAGTCAGGTGATGGGAAATGAGTGGAATAAAAAGGATTTTTTTCCCCCCACTTTCATCTCTTTTGGTTTCTTTGGAGTCTTCTGCTTAGAAACATCCTGCAGCTTTCTTTATGAATTCTCTAGCCTCTTGGTACTGGAATCACTGCAGCCCTGGAAGGAAGCTGGGTGTTTGAGCCTCTTCTACAACAGTCCTAAGAAGGCTGGTTTCTGTCTGTCTGTCTGTCTGTCTGTCTGTCCCTCTCTCTCTCTCCATTTTGTCCTCTAATATGTCCTTGCTAATATTCTTAGGTTATTTTTGACAACTGATGAAGATTGTTCTTGGGTTTTTTTGTACTGGGAATCGAATTTAGAATCTTGTACTTGTTAGGCAGGTGCTTGCCATGGAAGTACATCCACCAGCTGTTCTTGGTCTTTACGGGTCTTCAACTTCTCATACAATCTGCCTCAATTCTTGGAAGAATTATGAATCCTGTGAACAAGGAATGCTCAACGTATCACTCCAGGAATTAAAATCCAAAAGAGGGGATATATCTGCTGGTTGATCCAATGCTTGTCTTGTGTGAGTAGGAAGTGAAAGAGTTTTCTTGTAAAAGATACTTCCCACATGCTGAGATACCTTTGAAGACAAAATAAGGTAGTAATTAAGCCTATGAATTCTTTCAATATCGTACCTGAACCACAGTTGACAGGAAGGCTGAGGTAATTTCCAGCCCGAAACACAGAGCTGTAACAGTCACAATTCTAGTATGTGGTGGGCTTTTCTTTGTCTCAGAATCAGACAGTGTTTACAGCTTTCAAACTGGGTATCAGGATGGCTCTGACATCTAATTCCCTTCCTAGTTTGCTGTGGTTCATCTAGACTGTGTGATTTCATACCCTCTGGCCCTTCTTCTGTGGTCCTACAAAGGATCTCACAAACATCCCATCACACTTCCACAGCTGACCAGTCCCACCCTGACTAAAGCCAGAATTCTTTTGCACCCAGCAGTCACCAGGCAGGCATAAACCAGACTGCTTGGGGATACCACACAGTGAGTGCTTTGGTTGTCTTTGCTACAAGCTGACCCTGGATGGAACTCAGGCTTCACTGGCACAGTTCAGATTGCAAGTTGCTTCCATTCTGATAATATATCTGAGTCACTAAATCCCAGTAAATTCATTTTCCCATCCCTTTTTTTGTACACCCTGCTCCGATCTACCTTCTGAGTTTCTGTTCTGGGGGTGGGCTTCCTGCTTGGCAGAGCTTGCTACTATCAAGATTTATCCTCAATCTCCATCTTGGTGGTTGAGACCTTGTCATCCTATCCAGTGATGGACTCTTTCCTGCTCAGCTTCTAGAATTCCAAATGCTGCTCCAATTCTGCTGCTTCAGTTCTCAATCCCAAGGACCCTCTGACCACCCTGTTTCATTAATGTCTGGCATTAATTGGGCCTTTCTCTCAGCTTTTGGGAAGGCTTTTGGGAAGACACGGGGAGATGGGATACAGTAGCTCAGCAGGGCTCTGGGGAAGTGTGTGTGCTGTCAGAGGATAGCTCAAAAATGAGTGATAAATCAAAGCCAGAGAAGATCACATTTGAGAAGAAATCATTGTAAGTATGCCAAGATATACAGTTTCTCACTAATCAAAAGTGATTAATTTAAAAAAACATCTTACCAATGTTAATTTCTTAATTTTGAGCAATGTGCCATGTCATACAGAATGTTAACTTTGGGGAAAGCTGGATGAACTCTCTGGATTATCTTTGAAACTTCACTATCTTTAAAATTATTCCAAAATAAAAACTAAAAAAAAAAAAAAAAAAAGGAAACATTAAAGCATTTACACTGGAAAGAAGAGATTTCTCTACTTTAAAATTTTTAGACAAAAAGTAGTTTTTAAAACACAATCTGAAACATCAGCTCTTGGCATAAATATTTATTATAAGTAGGTATAATTCTGTATAAATTCTGGGACAAGTTAGTTTCTGTGTTATGATTTCACTTTTGAGAAAGTCAGTTTTTCAAAAATAATTATTGACCTGTTGTATGTTTTACATTTTCAAAGAATCCATAAATCTACAAGTCAGATAAAAATCCCCTCTCTCAAAGAGTTTACATTCTAATGGGATAAAGGGAAATCAACAATCAACAATGAACATAACATAAATAGATTACATTTACGGTGACGATGACGGGTAGTATGAGGAAGAAAGGAATAGAGGAAGAGAGATATCGGGGGTGTGGGACACTGGCAGTGTACAACTTTAGCTAGAGTGATCAGAGTGACCTCCGTGAGAAAGCACACGTGAGGAAAGAGGAAGATGAGCGACAATGAGGACACAGAAGAAGATCTCAGGAGAGGAGATGGCCAGTGGCGGGGCCTCACATGGAGTGTGTCCTCAGCGCTCAAGGGCAACCAGGAGCACGTGAGCAAGAGGAAAGGCTGGAAGGGAAGGAAGCGGAGGGGGAGGCCGGTGGGCAGAGAGGAGTGCAGGTCAAACAGGACTTGGGCTTTGACTCAGAAAGAAACAGGGAACTATGCAGGGTTTTGAGCAAAAGGGTGACATGGTTTGTTTTGTGTATTAAAAAGATCACTGTTTACTTTTTTGTAAATAAACATTTATCCAAGTCTCTACCACAAGTACGTGCTTATGTGAAATCACCATACCTGTGACTGAATTTTTAGCGCTGGCCCCAGCTTCAGTCCCATGGTGCCTCGGAGGTGCTCCTCTGTGAGTAATGGCAAAGTTTCTCCATCAATTGCATGATCTTTAAATACCTTATGAAAAACAAAAGATGTTGGCCTTGCTCAAATGTCTCTTTAAAAAAAGTTCTTATTTTATTTACAGATTTTAGTTTATGCAGAAATGTTCAGACTACTCTGAGGACAACACCAAAAAATCCTTTTTTAATTAAAAAATTATTTTTATTATAATCATTTTTTATGGTGGTAGGAATTGAACACAGGGTCTCATGCATGCTGCGTAAATGCTCTACCACTGAGTTAAACCCTCAGCCCAAAACTATTTGTAGTTGCACTCTTTTCTGTGTTCCAGGAACATATTATTTGTGCTTTTAATAACAGAGTAGATTATTGTCTGCTTATATAACTCAGTTTCAACCTGGAATAGCTATTATTTGAGGGCAGAGTACATGTATTATTTGTCAATGTATCCCTATACTGTGTGATATATGCACAATAAGAAGATGTGCAATAAACATTGATGGGTTGATTTATCAATAGGAAAATACTATGAGTAAAGGAATGGGGGTAAAGGCTTTAAGCTCCACTCGATGGGAGATTCTGGACAGAGCTCAGAAGACCAGAAGGCTAATAGAAATGCTGTTGGTAGACTAGGCTCAGGAAGTTTTTGCTAGTATGAAAGACTGTATTCGTGGCCAGACTCCAGAAAAATATGTGTTATGCCTTGGCAGAAAGTTTGTATGCATTTTGCTTATGTCCAGAGACTTTGGCTGAGTTTGAGATTAAGGGCAGCAGGCTAATTAATCTTGCAGAAAAAGTTTCAAAACTGTCTAATGTTGAGGCTGTGGCATGGCTATTGTTAAGGACTTTTAGCTAGATCTATATTGAGAATCAAGAGCAAAGAGCCCAGCAGAATGATTTAAAACATTTTATTTTGACCAGAAAAGACGTTCCAGTAAAGCTGTGGTCTGCAAAGGTGAAACAGAAGAAAAACTGGTAGTTGAAAAGACTAGTAAGGAAAAAACCAAGTGTTTCAGAAGAGGACAATACAAGATAGCCTGAGGACATCACAAGAACTGACAGGACTACCTTTGCAGTCACAAAACTGAAAGACTTTGCTTTAAGGAGGAAGCACCAGAGCATCATGTTCCAGAATGGTGGCACCCAAGGAAGTTGCTCCTCAGGATTTGGTTCCTAGGCACTCAACTTTTACAGTCATGAAAGAAAGAATCCTGGCTTGTGCCCTCCCTAGGAGCAGACTTTGGTATCATCCATGTGGCGCAGAATGCAAGAATTGTGAAGTCAGGAAGGTACCAACCAGATTTCAAAAGAAGGCCTGGGGAGCCAGGCAGTGTGCCCCTGAGAAGGCAGTGTGTGAAGCTCTGAGTGTGAAGCCAAAGATACAGTGGAGACCCTAGAAGTTTGGAGAAGTCAGGAACATAGATCATCTGAGGTAAGCTTCAAGGAGGGAGCAGAGCTGGTCCAAGACAGAAGCCATGAGAGAGAGCCAGAGCCACTGGTAGTGCTATAGGGGTAGAGCCATGGGTGCCCTTTGGTGTTCAAATCTTGCCACAGACTATGACGGATGCTAGACACGAACTACAGGACTTCACATTTGCCCAGTTGGATTTTGGTTTGCCTTTGTTCCCATTCCTTCCTATCCCCCCTTTTTTTGTCCCAGCAATGTAGAAAATAATGAAGAGACCAATGTTATCTCTTGACTTTGCAGATGTAGTTAGTGTCTTCTGTACACTGACTAGACAGATACACAAGGTAAGGAGAGGAGAGGAAATTCAGGTGAGAGTGGTCATCCTGGACCTTTCCAGCAGGGCCTGTTTGTTCTGATCCATCGTGGATGTTTCCATGCCTTCCTTTCTTCCAAAGTTTGGGAAGGCTGCTGGTGGACAAAGGTTCCAGGAAGATAAAGAGAGCGGTATGCAAAGCTGGACAGACTGGGAGGACCATAATGTCATGATCTCCATTGTCAACCTGCTTGGCAGGCCTTTTACATTCACTCATGAGATCCTATTTTTAAACCTTCTCTGCCTTCCAAGCTTAGACCCTATGAAGTCCTTCCTCATGTTCAGCAGATCACATAGCTTCCTGACTTAAAAAGAAAAGAAAATGAAACCGGTAGATAAGAATTCCCTCTAAATATGAATAGGGAACCTAGGAACTAACATTTTCTCCCATTATCCTGAGGATGGGAGAGGGGTCCCTCTGTGGTTTAAAGACAGTGTTGCCCTGTGTACATAAGTCTTCATCTCCCACCCACTACACTCATATTTGGGAGTCTCATTCAGTAGAAAATCTCCTTTTGTTTCCAATCTATTCTTTTCTGCTGGCTTTTCCCCATTAGCATGTCACTAATTTTCCATTATTAAATGAATAGCAGCAACAACAGCAACAACACATTTCATTTCTAGGTTCTGCTCATGTCTCCTGTCCCCTCCACAACCACGATTCTTAAAAGATATTGGATGCTTTCCTGTTTATACCTGTTCGTGTTCTTACTTCTTGGTCATTCTTCAGTCTGAGCCCTGGGTCCCTTCCATTAAACCTGTTCTCCTTGGCCTCCCTGGTACCGCTGCTGTACTGTACTGAACACTGGACACTTTCCACTTGTCTTTCTTTTTCTTTCTTTCTTTCTCTTATATTTGCTAAATGCTTGGCTGTATTTCACAATATTGACAGTTCCTGCCTGGACGTGACAATCTCTGCATGCTAAAGGCTCCCTAATATGCATATCTTTAGCTTAGAAACTAAATCAAACCAATTCTGACACTCAGGTAGTGTTCTCTCTCTCTCTCTCTCTCTCTCTCTTTCTCTCCCTCTCTCTCTCTCTCTCTCTCTCTCTCTTTTGGTCAAGCAAAAATAATCTTTATCCAAATTTAATGGAAACAAGGGTTACTATTCTTTGCAAGACAGGGAAAACTAAAATTAAAAAAATTTTTAAATATAAAGCAACATAATCACCATATGAGAATATGAAACTCTACAGTTTATTTCCTATGGGAAACTACAAGTATCAATTTTCCTCTACTGTACTATTCACAATTTTGTTAAGCCCAACAATATGAAACCAGGGTGGTAGGGAACTGAAGACTTAGCATTTTACTAAATGGGATATATCAAAGGCCATCGATTCAAAGGCAAAGAAAGGTTGAACTCACCACACCTGCCTAATGCCATTGTGCCTGCCTTAATGCTGTCCAGGTACTGAGCTCCCTGTAGGAAAGGCCAGGCCTGAAAGCCCAGGCATTCTGGATGTTCTACTGTGGCCTGTGAGGACAGGGAGTTTCATTTTCGAGAAGACTGTTTTCAGTCGAGCAGGAAGGCCTGACACCCAGAGGCCTCCCTGAGAGGAAGCACTTAGATTCACTAATTACGGACACACCACTGGGGACTTAATGTACAGCGGTGACGGATGTTCGCCCTCAGTTACTTATGCCATGGCCACCAAACACGGGCAGATCTCTCGGGTGGTTCTGACCTGGTGGCAGCCAGTTAGGACCTTGAATGGGACCTCGATCTAGACCGAGAGGGCGACCGAAGCAGACCTGGGTGGAGATGTGGACCCAGCTGACTGGGCCCCGGGATCGGGCCTCCTCACTGCCCCTCGGCCTTCCCTCTGGCCTGACTCGGCCTCGGGGTGCTCTTGTGTGACCTGGCCCGGGAGGGTGTCTCCCCCTGCTTCTTGCTGCTGCCCCTTTTCTGTCTCTCTTGTCGCCTCCTGTTCTGGCTCTTGCTGCAGCTGCGGCTCTCCTCCCTGCTCCTCTTCCTGCCCTTCCGAGCGTCCTTGCTTTTGCTGTGCTCTGGCCGCGGCCGCCCTCTCTCCTCCCGGCTCTGGCTTTCTCTTTGCTCCTGCTCCTGCTCCCTTGCCTCTCCTCTTCCATCTCCTCTCCTGCTCTGCGCCTACTTTTACTCTTGCTTTTGTGCCTGCTGGGACTCCGCTCTCGGCTCCCAGTGCTGCCGCTGTTCTGGATCTTGTTTTCTGCACGGTCTTCACTCTTGCTGGGGCTCTTGTTTGTGCTGAGGCTATGGTTGCAGCTCTTGTCACCCTTGCTGGGGCTCCTGCTTTTCTTTTTCTCTGGCTGTGGCTGCCACTCTTGCTCTGGGAGTGGGAGGCCAGGTTGGACCAGGACCGACAGCTTTTGCTGCTGCCACTTCAGCTTCTGCTCTTCCGGGAATGTCTGCTTCGAGAACAAGACCTTGAATGACTCTGGATCCTGGAATAGGACTGGCATCGTCTAGGACCTGGCTTACCTTCAACCAATCTGATTTTTCTGCCACTGACTTCAGTTCCATCCAATTTTCCCAAAGCTCTTTTCATATCAGAATAACACAAATTCACACACAAGTTCAACCAGGCCTTCATTTCTGCATCCCTGTGAGCATCTGCATAGATGACTTTTGCCTGATGCATACAATCCTTTAGGACTTGCCAACTGAGCTGACTTGACAAATCCTCCATGAGAAGTCTGTTCTCTCTGTGGGTGGGAGGACCTTATTTATCTTGGCCACTTCTTCTATAACCATATCCACTGTGTCCAGACCCATAACTGCTATCTTGCCATGGGGCACTTCTCGCCACAAAGGTCTTTGCCATTCAGCTCATGGACAGCATCATCTGCATCACGCAGATCATTGGACTGCACAAAACTACCCCCGTTCCTTAGCGCCACCTCCAGAATCTTGCCATAGCCCTTAAAGAAGAGCTCCACATTGTGCCCACCTGGTAGCTCAGGCCGACGTATGGTACGGCATGCTGGCATGGTGGCAGGACACAGCCCAGGTAGTGTTCTTATCTGCCTACCATTGCTCCTACCCTGGCTGAAACTCTGGTGTAGTTCATCTAAGGAGACTTGCCCTCAGGTCTTGTTTCATTTGATTCACTTTCACAAAAGCAATCTGAGTGATATTTCTGAAGTATAAAGCAAATCACGCATCTGTAAAACCTTCACTGCTCCTAGAATAAACCCATGATCCTATCCTGGGTCTGCAAGGCTCCCTGTAATTTGGCCCTTTCTGTCTCCAGCCATGCTATACTCTCTCTGGCTTCTAGCCCTACCTCT